AAAACTGAATGCAATGATGTGGAGATGGCAAATGTCAATATTTTATTCGTAATATAACATAGATGACAGATCAAAAGTTTAATCTGAGTAAATGTAACATTTTAAAGGAAAAATATGTTGATTCAAAATTTCACAGTGTCAACAAATCCCAAAAAAGTTGGGACAAGTAACAATAAGTGGCTGGAAAAAGGAAATTGAGCATATAATGAACATCTGGAAGACCAATTAACACTAATTAGGTCAATTGACAACATGATTGGGTATAAAAAGAGCTTGTCAGAGTGTCAGTGTCTCTCAGAAGCCAAGATGGTAAGAGGATCACCAATTCCACCATTGTTGCGCAGAAAGATAGTGCAGCAATACCAGAATGGTGTTACCCAGCGTAAAATAGCAAAGACTTTTAAGTTATCATCATCAACCGTGCATAACATCATCAAAAGATTCAGAGAATCTGGAACAATCGCTGTGCGTAAGGGTCAAGGCCGTAAAACTCTACTGGATGCTCGTGATCTCCGGGCCCTTAAACGTCACTGCACCTCAAACAGGAATGCCACTGTCAAGGAAATAACAGAATGGGCTCAGGAATACTTCCAGAAAGCATTGTCAGTGAACACAATCCACCGTGCCATCCGCCGTTGCCAGCTGAAACTCTACAGTGCAAAGAGGAAGCCATTTCTAAGCAAGCTCCACAAGCTCAGACGTTTGCACTGGGCCAGGGGTCATTTAAAATGGAGTGTGGCAAAATGGAAGACTGTTCTGTGGTCAGATGAGTCACGATTTGAAGTTCTTTATGGAACACTGGGACGCCATGTCATCCGGACCAGAGAGGACAAGGACAGCCCAAGTTGTTATCAACGCTCCGTTCAGAAGCCTGCATCACTGATGGTATGGGGTTGCATGAACGCTTGTGGCATGGGCAGCTTGCATGTCTGGAAAGGCACCACTAATGCAGAGAACTATGTTCAGGTTCTAGAACAACATATGCTCCCATCTAGACGTCATCTCTTTCAGGGAAGACCCTGCATTTTTCAACACCATAATGCCAGACCACATTCTGCAGCAATCACAACATCATGGCTACGTAGGAGAAGGATCCAGGTACTGAAATGGCCAGCCTGCAGTCCAGATCTTTCACCTATAGAGAACATTTGGTGCATCATAAAGAGGAAGGTGCCACAAAGAAGGCCCAAGACGATTGAACAGTTAGAGGCCTGTATTAGACATGAATGGGAGAGCATTCCTATTTCTAAACTGGAGAAACTGGTCTCCTCTGTCCCCAGACATCTGTTGAGTGTTGTAAGAAGAAGGGGGGATGCCACACAGTGGGAAAAATGGACTTGTCCCAACTTTTTTGGGATTTGTTGACGCCATGAAATTTGGAAACAACAGATTTTTCCCTTAAAATGAAACATTCTCTCAGTTTAAACTTTTGATCTGTGATTTGTGTTCTATTCTGAATAAAATATTAGATGTTGGCACCTCCACATCATTGCATTCACTTTTTATTCACAATTTGTTTAGTGTCCCAACTTTTTTGGAATACGGTTTGTACATACACACACATTGACACATACATATGTATATATTTATTTGTGTGTGTGTGTGTATGTGTATATATATATATATATATGTGTGTGTGTATGTGTATATATATATATATATATATATATATATATATATATATATATATATATATATATATGTCAATGCGTGTGTAAATACTAAAATAAACTACTACTACTACTTGTACTGCTCTTCTTACTTTGTAGTTTTTCACTTATCATGGGGGGTCCTTTGAACTAATCCCTCGTGATAACCGAGGGACTACTGTACACTCATCTCCAGGCCAGAGGTCACTCTTTCAGGGATGAAGATGTTCACATCCTGGACAGAGAGGAACGATGGTTTGAGAGAGGAGTAAAGGAGGCCATCTTTGTGAAAAGAAATCGTCCGTCATTAAACGCGTGGAGGAGTTTGTGCCCCTCAGTGATCCTTGGAGCTCTGCTGTTGTGGGTAATTATATTTGCCCCTGGTTGGGTCTCCCAAAGCAGATTTGTCTTAGGTGAAAGGCCAGACAAAGAGCGATTCTAAAGACTTGTAAAGAACGAAAGTATGAATACCAGACAGGTAGAGAGCAGTAGAACCCCTCTGACTGGATCACTTACTGACATGTAGAATCTACCATTTGTGTTTCAGGCTGCAGACGGCAGGAATACCGGCTCCAGAACCTCTGCTGCTCAGAAGTCACGTTCTGCTGATGGGCTTCATCGGGAAGGACAACTTGTGAGGGGAACCAGCTGCTGTTGATTGTTCCAATCGATTATTGGTGATTGACATTTGACCGTGGTGTTGTTTGGATTAGACCTGCTCCTCTGCTGAAGAATGCCACCCTGTCAGAGTCCAAGGCCCGAGAACTCTATCTGCAGGTGGTGCAGAACATGAGGAAAATGTTTCAGGACGCTCGTCTGGTCCATGCTGACCTTAGCGAGTTTAACATGCTGTAAGGAGAACCTTTCAGAAATGTTCTCTCTGGTTCTGTGCCACAGTTTTCTGAGGTTCTAGTTTGTCTGCAGGTACCACAACGGAGATGTCTACATCATTGATGTGTCTCAGTCGGTGGAACATGATCATCCTCATGCTCTGGAGTTCCTCAGGAAGGACTGCAGTAACGTGAACGGTCAGGTGGCACCGAGCAGCTGGACTCTTATCTGTTCACTGTGTGATGTTAGAAGGTTCTGGTGTAGGTCTGTTCTGACCTGGATCTTTTTTTACCCAGAATTCTTTGGGAAACGAGGCGTCGCCATCATGACAGTCAGAGAGCTGTTTGACTTCATCACAGACACATCCATCACCAGCCAGAACATGGAGCAGTACCTGGAGAAGGTGAGCCGAACCCAACAGAACCTCTAGTAGAACTGATGGAAGATGGTCTGTGTTCCCCTCGCAGGAAAAATAAAAGGAACAATGCAATGAACATATAGCGTCTAAAATACTGCAATCAACATCTGAAAACCTTTAAAACATTCACTTAGTTTTATTTTATTTAACTCCATTTAACTTCATCTAAGTCAAATCAGGTTTGTTTATATAGCACATTTAAAACACAAACTGTTACCATCCATCCATTATATTCCACTTATTCTGAAGTCGGGTCTCGGGGGCAGCAGCTGGAGCAGGGAGGTCCAGACATCTCCTTCCACAGCCTCCTCTTCCAGCCAGGGCTTAATTTGTAAAACAATTGATGCCGGAACACACATAGTTGGGGGGGGGGGGGGGG